AAATTTATTGACAATCTCGTAACCAATCGCTTCTAAAGTAAAACAGCGCGAGCAGTCAAAGCCTTGAACAGTAATCGAATTTATAACCCAAAGTCGGGAGAATATCTTAAATTAAGTGGGGTCAGTACAACTACAGCTACCCGTAGCGTTTGGACAAGAGAAAGAGAGGAGGGATTCTATAGTCTAATTTTATTACTAGAAGTCAAACTCCGCTTCTGTCTCCTTCCAGGATCAAGGACTGAAACTGCGGAATAAAAAATACAGATTTGTAAATAAGATTTTCTAAAAGTCGCGGCATCTGTCACCATCAATATTCCTCAGAAGGCCCCATTAGTGCGATTATAGCATCACCATGCCAAAACGGCGCAAAAACTTTTGACATTTCAAATCCTCAGACTTAGCTAACACGACGAAGTTTCAAATTCTCCGACCACTTTTAATGGCACCTGTCGCTACCTATATACCTCTTTTTCAAATCTCATGAAACTGTACACCACGGATGCACCAGGTGTATCTCGTTTCTGCAATGTGGGATGGGTTTTGTAATAGACTTAAGTAAAAGACGGAGGATTACGGTCTTGATCTGCCGTGTCTGAGTGAAAATAGTCCATCTCCCTGCGTCCTTGTTCCACCGAGACAAAAACAAATTCATTACACATTTGGACTTCTTTCTTTGGCCAAACTTTACTTTAATAGTGACGTTAAAAGTTGAAAAAAATGGCTATTTTTTTCACGAAAATAAAAGCTTCCGTTGGTATTTTTTGTAACAGTATTATTTAACAGTATTGAATGCTTATGCTGTTCAAAAACATGTATACTTACATATTCTGTTGTTTAATGCACATTTTATTATGCATATTTTATGCATTTAAAATTATCGTTTCGACTTATAGAATAGGAATAGATTCATACACAAGAACATTTTAAAAAATGGGTATTCCTAAATGTAACAATGCCCTCTAAAATTAATTTTATCTGATTAATTAAGTGACATTAGTATACGAACAGTTCCGGTATAGAAATAATTCATACCATTGTCGCTTACGTCTTGTTACATCCATAGTAAGGGGCGTAGCTACCATTATGAAAAAAAGCCCGGGCTTACACATGATTTTGAAAATGAAAGTTGGTCAAGCTCTCAATACTATCAAAATGTATAGCTTTGCAACCTATCGGGCTTACACGAAAATATTGGTTTGCTACGCGCCTGATAGTATCATGAGAAACGACGCTCAGAGTTGCATATGAAACGACGCTCTAGTAGAATACTGGGAAATACCCATAGTAGCTTATAGAACGACACTCTTGGAAGCACGTAGAACGACACTCGTTGTATCACATAGAACTACATTCGTGGAAGCACGTAGAACGACACTCATTGTATCACATAGAACTACATTCGTGGAAGCACGTACAACGACAATCGTAGCAGCATGTAGAACGGCCCTTATAACCAATAGCTGGTGAGATACACAGTCAGGTTAGTGTGCCCCTGTGTATGTCGATATAGTCCTGTGAATCTAGGTGCTGTGTTCACGACGAACACACTGAATCACGAGTCAGTTATTCACGTCCTTAAAACCTAAACTATATGTTGTTTCCCGTTTCAGAGCAGCTAATGCTTTCATAAATTCGCTACTGAAACAGCGTGAATGGACTTTAAATCTGCCATGCTCCACGCGGCATTGACTTATGTGAAAGCGAAAATCATTTTCTTTTGGTAAATAACATCTGAAGCTAACTATTACTTATTCCTGAGACAACTGGAACAATTATTTTTGCAATTCAATAAATTAAAACTATATTTGACTAAACATGCATTTGGTCATAACGTGGTTATGAGTAATTACGGGTCTAAATCTGTGGAAAATTGGAAAATCAGAGGTATGTGACGAAATTTGATTTCAAACCGAACTCGTAGGGTAGACTATTATAATTTCGTTACTCATGTCTGATTTTTCAACACAGTATGTTTATATCCATTCTATCATAACCGCGTTATTAAGATTTAAAAAACAATACATACTGTGTTGAAAAATCAGAGGTGTATAACGTGATAATATACCTCCGATTGACTTCAATTAACCAACCACAATCCAGTATTTACTGTAATCGTGGTAGAATTGAAAATATATGTTTTTTGAATTCGCCTTGGTTTATATGAATATATTACATTCAAAGTCAAATAAGATATGGAACATGGACGTTCCCAGGTTTTACATAAATTTCCCGAAATTAGCACATTCTCGTAGTCATATAGCAACAACTCGAAATGAAACCTTCATATGTCGTTTTGGACATCTCAACCAGAAAAACCTCAAATGCATTACATGAAAGAGCAAGATTGGCATGGAATCTCAAGTTTAATTCCTGTAATCCGTATTAACCTTTCAAGAAAATGGCGTCGGATTTAGGTTTAGGAAATGGGGATTACGCCACGGTATCAGGTACCCAACACGACGAGGGACAGATATGGGCCTTGCGAGTGTCGGAATCCGCTACAATAGAATAAACCCTCGTTAAGAGAAACCCCCCAAGGTAGAACAAGGTGGGTAGCTGGTAATAAAAACACTGCAATGGACCAGAAGAGGTCGTTGATGATTACATTATTGTTAATATACGAGGCTTAAGTGCCATTAATGACTGCCATCGAAAACTCAGGATACATTACTGGTGTTTAATATAGAGGAATATTAAGATGCCGCTTCGGGCAATTCACTGAAATAAATCCGGGTTTCTTGAGAAAGCAGGATGGTGATGATAAACCGAAAGACTTTTGGTACGGCACTGCCGAGTTGGAGTTACTTTGTACGGCACTTGCGGTTAACATGGATGATCCTGCAAATGTGTCCTAGTCTTTGGTCTGAGTTCTTTGGGATTAAGTACTAACTATTTATTTATACACACATCCCATGAAAATAGGTTCGCCTTATTTTTCGGACATGAATCCAGTTACTGGTGAATTGAATAACGCGTTCTAAATGACTTGATTTAAATGTGACATTTGATACCGTGTCACAGAGGTGTAAAGTGTGAAAGTGTAAGAAGATTGCGGGACACAAAAAACCCAGAAACTATTAAGGGGGTATTTAGTGCATGAAACTGTCGTACGTTCACATAAACAGTGTTTGACGAATTGCTCTGTGACAGAACATAATGTTTGAGAAATTATTCATAAACACATATATTCATATTCATATTCAAAATTGCTTGACGAATTTACATAAACATTAGGTTTGACGAAATAACATAAACATTATATTTGACAAATTTTACATAAACTTTGTGCTTGACGAATGTTACATATACATTATGTTTGACAAATTTACGTATACAATATGTTCGACGAATGTTACAAATACCTTCTCCTTTGCGAATTTTCCATTATCATTCTGTTAAAGAATTTAAAATAAATATTCTGTTTGACAAAAGATTTAGATATCATCATTATTTTATGCATTTGTTGTTTTCTCATGTGCTCATAAACGAAATTTCAAGTAAGATATCGCTATGACAGTAGCACATGACAAATTAGGCAACATACGTACATGTGCTCTAATATCTTAACGTTTGGAAACCCTACATGAAGCCCTTGTCTGGCTAATGCATAAGAACTTTCAAATATTTATTGATAAGTGTTTGACGCCTCTATATCCATGCAGTATTTACAGTAATATATGAGATTTTGAGAACAATGCATATCTATTAACATACTAAAACAATTTGTATATATTTTTAAATGTAATGATGTCACCATTTTCTCATTATGTTTTGATACACGAGCCTACATTTACTCATCAGATACAAAAATGATGGATGTCCTAATTTGACTTGTACTTTATGTTCCAGAGTTGTTGTGACGCGCCTACCTGGTATGATGATCTCTATTTCTATGTGATTCATATACACAGACTCACGATGCAGTAGGAATCGTATGGAATCTGCTCTAACTCACATTTCTTATGAAAATGAAAAGGGTTTCTCGCTTTTGTGTACTAGCATCACGGTTCAGTGTAACGGTTAACACCCGTGAAGGTCCGGGTTAGAATGTGCCTTCAGTAACCCATGCTTGTCGTAAGAGGCGACTAACGGGATCGGGTGGTCAGGCTCGCTGACTTGGTTGACATATGTCATCGGTTCCCAATTGCGCAGATCGATGCTCATGCTGTTGATCACTGGATTGTTTGGTCCAGACTCGATTATTTACAGACCGCCGCCGTATAGCTGGAATATTGCTGAGTGCGGCGTAAAACTAAACTCACTCACTCACTGTAACAGTTAACGCGAGTACACAACATGTTGTGGTTCTGTGTAAATATGCTAGCTACAGGACTGCCGATTGATCAAGCTCATGATGTCAATCACTGGATGTTCTTGTCCTCATTATTTACAGAACGCCTACGTACAGCTGGAATATTGCCGAGGGCGGACTCACACAACAAACAAACAACAAACAAAGTCTATATGGATCCATATTCTGGGCAACACAGCTCCTGTATCGTCGATCATGTTTAGGGTAATTGTGCTTTTGGTTCCAGCTTCTCTTCAATAATATTAAAACGCATTGTTATCATATAATGTTGACATTTCAATGCAGATGGTGTAGTGTAACTGAGTGACTTCGGTTTAACGTGGGTTAACCGCATTACTGTTATATACACCATGCGCCATCGAGGAACGTCATCGTAGATGTTGACCACTTTGGTGAAATCCATGAGCAAGAATCGGTGATAAGCGATAATCTTGCATTCCAAGCCCCGGTCACACGATTGTGACGAGAAGAACGCGTGAGACATTGCACAGCCAATTCTGGCACTTATATGACTGGGCCACCCATTTTACCATTTTGGAGCGCAGTTGGTTTCATCAACTGTCAGATCAATGGCACCAAACTGTTTTCTATTGCTTGATTGTATCAAACAATAGTTGCTCGTGTTGTCGTAGCATGTTTAAACAATACTGTATTCACACAATAATACGCACAATAGCTAGAAGCTTACCTGAATTCTTGCCTCATTAAGTTTGGTGATTCTTGCCAGTTCTTCTCGACAATATATATCAGGGTAGTGGCTTTTGGAAAACGCCGTTTCCAGTTCCCTTAGCTGCTCCTGGGTGAAGGTCGTTCGGTGACGTCGTCTTGCTGGAGTTGGGCATGTGGCTGCAGATGGGTTATGTCCCCCTGAAGGCCCTGACCCCGTGGATGACGAGGAGAGAGGCGAGATGCCGGGCGAGCTGCTTTCTGGTTTGAGCTTCTTGAAGGCACCCTCCTGCCCTGAAAGCGAATAATGGCCTGCGTTCATTGGCAATGGTTTGCTGATAGGTATACGGTTATTGGCTAAACCATACTAATTCACTCTCTTACATGAGACTAGTATTAACGTCATTGTTGTGGACATGTCTTACATGCGACCATAACATTCACGCAGAGCGAAAGCATGTTAGTGAGATGTGAAGTTTAGTTTCATTTTTTTCACACAAGTTGAAAAAATAATGTGGGATGCATTCCTCTGTTTTGATTTGTACTCTGTTTTTAGAATTTTGTTTAGTTGAACAATTGACATGTATTTGCACGAGTTTGCGAAAGGTGTCACCCGTGGGACGGGCACATGGTATCGCGGGTATTATTCGAAAGTAATTCAGAAATACCTACTTATAATATAGTCGGAATTGTACGATGAACACTACTTTCAGTAAATATTTCTTAATATTTCTTAAAATGGTTTAGTCGATTATAGTAAATCACATTCAAACAAAACCTGCCACATGAACAAAGGAATTTGCCATGAAATAATCAACAATAATCAATAGATTACTGTCTTGAAATCCAAGCCCTTGACCACTATATGACAATAGAACGGTCGGTCCTGTACTAAACATCGACGATTAACGGAGTATATCTCAGTATGTTAATGATGAACAGCGGGGAGATGAGACTCCAGTGAGAATCACTTGCCGTTAGACACAATGAACTAAACTCTGAAGCAGAACGTTGCTTCATACAGATCTCATATAATGATTTTTCTACTTACTTTTGTCTTCGTCTCCGAATACTTGTAATGATACTATATTTCTAACGATGGGATTTTTACGTTGCCATAACGTGTGGAGATGTTGTACATATACTCATGGAAACGAATACGGGAACACATGAAAGTACAAGTGTTCCTTTATTCTTTTCAAGGTTTCTTCACACGGTATGTATTGCACTGTAGGTGAAATTCTGGTAATAGATAAAGGAACACTTGTACTTTCATGTGTTCCCTTATTCGTTTCCGTGAATATATAGCGGAATAGAAACGAAATTCATTTCACTATTGGTAATGTAACAGGAAGTACCACAGGGCGAAGGTGTAGCAGTTACTAGAGCTATTCCTTGAACATTGCCGTACACAATGGAATCTGTCTAAATCTGTCTGCGTTTAGTATTGATATAGGTCGGACATAGACAGCAGTCCGGTGTACACAAACCTAATTTTAAACAGCGCATTACACTACATCACAAGTTTAACTTAAACAGGTTTTGTTCTCGTAAGTAATGTAAAAAAAATGAATGAAAACATACAATCATAGTAACAGGTATGTCATGTCTTACGTGGTAGACAAATAGGGCTGTGTATTGGCAAATAAATTGTATTGCAATATACTGCGATTCAGGTACCCATATTGCGATACGTATTGCGATATATTGTGAACTTTATAAGTCCCTAAACATATATGTTATGGTTCTGATAAGAGCAATCTCAAAATTAGGTGGCACAGTCATGGATTCTATTTTCCTTTATATATAGAATTGCAGTATGCCGTTTTGTGATTGAGTAACGAAAGAGAACATTTGTTGTGAATGAAAGTATGTGTAGATTTTAATTTAAACCATAAAGATAATCAAAAACTTCATATATGGTTTTTTACCCAATATACCGGTTCTCAGAAACAATATTGCAATACGTGTCGTTTGAAAAGCGTATTGCAATATAACGGTATACCGGTAATACCGTGCAGTCCTGTAGACAAATATATTCAGTTACTAGTATAACTACAGAACTGTAAAGGGCTCCAGATAATGTTTCAACATCAGGAGTACGTACTCCTTATTTTTTCAATATATGAGTACTGGAAAACAATAAGAGTACATTTAGAGTACTGAATCGAAGTTAATGGTGTATCATTAAACTTGTGCTTCGTTTCATATATGCATGACAGCATTGCTACTCTGGTGTAAACGGTCAATAAACAATTAAACAATACTTTTTCAGATAAATATGTCTGTAAATGATTCTAAGACTGTGCACAATTGCTGGAATATTGCTAAAAGCGGCGTCTAAACTCAGTCAGTCTAAATTATTTCCTACCGTATCGTGTATATTTTTTATCCGTAGCCCTGATTGTACTTTTGTGTTTTCATGAAAATATCAAGGGTTTTTGCATTTCTTAAACATCTACTTTGTGTTGAAGAGCTGCTCAACACCCTGACGAAATTCCTCATGATTCGGCGATCGTTCCTCCCAAGTCACGTACGCATTGACATCTTACAATATTAGTTCTCAACACCAAGGAAATCATAGAAAGTCCATACTTTGAAATGCTGTTGGAACATTGCTGCAATCCTCACACAATCATAAAAAACAAGTAGTACATGGCATGAACGACTTTTTTTGTCTCGAACATATTTACTGTAACATGACCAATTAGACGTGTTCTATTCCATGTACTTCCACAATTATTTAGAAATCTATGCCACAAACAAATGTGTATAATGTATGCACCAGTCAATTGAAAAAGGATATTTTTACGAATTTGTTCGTAATGTTCATTTTAATTTAACAGAAATATCGAAAATGTAAGATAATGAAATATACACTACCATGGAAATAATAGAATAAATATAAGGTTTTGATTCACGTATAATATTTGCAGAGACGATACCGGGTATTTGGATATAAAGTCCTGTATACTTCACACATAGCTACCACATCACAGCTACCAGAACCCAGCACAATGTCACGATCATATACCAGCGGTCGTGTCATGATCAAGTCAGGTCACTGTCACTTCACGACAAACATTGATTTCATCATTAACAGATTTCAACAAAAAATTCAATAATATATTCGTTGATGTATTTATGATATTTGCTGATAGATTGAACAATATATACCGACTAACCGCTTTTTGTGAATTATATATCCTTTCTTAATTTAAACTCTAAAATATTATCATTTCGCCAGAATATTTTTTTTGTAGTTGCCAAGTTTATGAAATATGTTGTGGCACTGAATATTATTCACATTGAATTATTCACATAATTAGTCTCATTTCGATATTTTACAACATCATTTTGCGCATACTGTTTTCCGTATAAAATGTATCAACATACTTGAGTCAGTTAAATATGTAACTGACTCTTCTCAGACATAGTCATTATCACACATTTCATTCACTCCGTCCTGTTGTTATTCTTCCTAGAGCGACACTGATTATTTACTAATTAAATATGTTCACAGTTCTTAGCAATTACTGACAACGAAATATAAATAAAATAAATGTAAATGTGTCAATAAAATAGAAGTATCACAAGTAAGGATGAGAATACATGCAATGGTGCTTAAAATATTTAGAATTGAATTACCCACATGTTACAACAGATCATAAGATATGTACACATGAACTTCTTAAACAATTCGAAACGCGATACATCTCGCTTTAATACAAGCATTTCTATCCATGTGCCCTCAGTTGTCTGAGCACAGATCCCCCGACCCCCGAGCTCTGACCTCGACCCCCAAGCTTCCTACCCGACGCTACAGTATCGAGTTGTCCCCAGTGACAGATGGGGACAGGACCTTGTTACTGGTCGAACATCACGGACACATAGCGCTAAATGACCACAACAAAGGCCAAATACTGAATACCCGTAATCAAATCTGTCTCATTTGTCGCTTGCGATATTTGTGACAGTTTTCATGTGCTTACGACTAATTACTGTTCACGGTCCAGCCAAGAGAGATTTATATGTAGCCTCTCATGGAGTATTTGGAAACATGTCAGGATTAGTACGTATATAGTTACTTATGTGTTCTGATGTTTTTCTACTTAATAACATTCATATCAATAAAGGCAGGGTTGACTCTATTTCGACTTTCCTCTCTTCACGACGTTTCCGTACAGAAACTTGTGACGCGGCTGTCGTACTGACACATGTATGTTTCAATGAAGACCAATGAAGGGTGTTGAAATCCATATGACAATCTTACCTATAACATGTTTGGGTTTTCATCTGATACAGATATTTGGCCACTATTCGATATTATCGGACTCGTACAATGGACTCATTTATCAGCAGAGATATTTATGACTATTGAGAAGTCTTTTTCGCTTTATTATTATTACTAGATATAGGGTAATATAGTGCATTATTATCTTATTCTTCGAAAATGAATCGTTATTGACACGAAATGTTGCAAAATAACATGCAGATAAAGGTTAAAACATCTAAACATGGGTTTCATTATACTCGTGTTTTATGTGAACTTACAGCATGAATAGTGCAATGGTATTCTCTGTATTTGTAGAGAGGCTACTATTTAACTCCTAACCATTATTTAAATTTATATCTTAAATAATGAAGCTTTGGAGCCACAAACGTTTGCAAAATCTGTTCTCAGGAGGGTGTGATATTTCATGGAGTAGTTTTTCTTTACCAAATTTCTTTGATCATTATATCAATATGCTTTGGATCAGGGCAATATTTAAAATATGGATATGTTAAGATAAAAGATAAACATTATTTTGGTTAACACTGTACACGAATTAAACTTTCCGAAGTCTGTGTTTACAATTCACATGTTCCGTAACTGATATCTTGAACACTATTTGAAATACAAATGTTTTTATTGTGCCGTTTTCTGTCCATTTTCTGATGTTAAGAAATAATTTCATACGAAATATAAAACAAATATGTGTGACCAAACTTTTTTGATTAAATTTCATTAGTCTTAACTGTAGATTTAAGCTCATTAAATTTTAATGTATAATACACAATATGTCTGACTTGAAGGAAAGAAGTAATAATTAAGAAAACAAATAATATTCGAATTAGTAATGTCAGATATCTCAGAATCGAAGGAATGTTTGTCTCTTTACTCCAAAGTATTTTCAGCTAAATACGTAATGCTCACGTTGGTATTAAATGTGCTAGAAATTTGCGCAATGAATATCCAAATTTAACTCCTATATAAAGTATACACAAGAATTTTCCTTTCCGTTTTCCAGCTTCAATTTAAAGGCATATTCCTGAGTTTTGGTATCATTACTAATTTGTTCGTTGCATGTAATTATTTTCAGGTGGAGGTGCAATATAGAAATCGGTACATACAAAATTACAATATGACATAAAGAAATAGATTACACAATATATCATTTTTCTTAACAATGGTGCAAACACGTGCCGTGACTGTATTGCTAGTAATAATATCTTTAAGAGGGAATATTCCAGATAATAAGGGGTAACACACCCAGGAAACGTTTAACACTTACATTTAATAATATATAAGGCGACACATTATATCATTGCCGTAATATTGTCACGCAGTCTCACACTGACGTGTAAACAGATGCATCTTACATAATTTCTTAGATAATATCCCGCACTCGAAAATCTCAGCGAAGAGCACTTGAAACTAACTAGTTTTACTTGTCAACACTTAAGAAACATACAACAATACAAAAGTGATAGAGTCATTTCCGCTAACATCACTCTCTCGACGTGTGTCACACCCCGAGGGGTCCCCCCTCCCCTCCCGACCCCACCAACACACTCCTTATCCCCTCTCAGGTTACACGAACGCGTGCGAACCTTTAGCAGCACGCGCGATCGTTTTGTTGTTAGCTTGTGGTAAAGAGGACTTTACTTGACTGTCGCACTCCCAACATCATTGTTAATTAGAAACGGCGTGATAATACCTGGATGGCTGGTAGTGGAATTTTCAAGGAGGGTTTTGTGTATTTTCGTATCGTTGTGTCACTGACATGTATACAAGCCGTGATAAACAATGATATCTGAATGTATGTTAGGTTATTTAGTGTACCAGATGAAAACAGTTGGCGAAAGGTTTCCAATGTGTCCGAATGCGTTTGGAATTTTCTTTTATTGTTCACGGCCCTTAATACTTCTGAATATCTGAGAATTTATAAACCACATAGATAATATTTTATTAAGGTTCTGACTGTATTTGGAATTGTCTGTCTATTGTTCGCGGTTCTTCGTATTACTGTATATCAGAGAATTTATGTTCCACATTAATAATATTTCTTGTAAATGTTCCTGTTATTTTTGCCAGTATATAACATACTATACGTAGACATGGCATGATCGTACGACAAAACATTTAACATAAACAAATGTAAAGTTTAAGGTATTGATGAAGCGGAAGCAGTGGAAGACATGTCTTCGTATGGTACACTCGTGATGTAGTTTAGATTATTTACATACATGAATGATGACAGCACGTGTGGATTTTATCTTGTTTGTTCTTTCAACTGTTCAAAATGTTTCTAGCATATGTACCGAAACATCGTTTGAAAGAATAAAACACCGAAATTCATAAGTCAACACTGTTCATAATAACTAAAGAGGCAACATCTCCACCCTTCTGTTATTATGATCTTTATGATAATAATAAAAACGAAAACAATTCAAGTTTCTGATATCTTCATAGTATTTATGAAATACTTTAGGAAACTAAATATGTAAACATGTACAAACAGATTTACTGCAACTTATGTCAAGAAATACAACTCACTGTGAATTTCAAAAAGAATCAGAACTATATGCACGCACCAAGCAAATAAACGGAAATTCGCAACAAAGCGAAAATATTTGTTCTTTTGGAGACGGAACATGCGTCTCATGGTGTGTGTTTTTCAATTATTTCTATGTGGTACACATTTAAAATATATAAATGCTTCTATATAAGGTATATATTTGAATACATATAAATGCTTTTTTAAATAACACAGGTTAGCTGAAAATAAAAGTTAACAATCATCGTGTTCATCACACAGTTTTCTCACAAGAATGAAAGATGCGGGCTAAACTCAACGTTGAAACTGCGAATCAACGAATTTACAGAGACCCGTGGAATCAATTTGCTGCTTTTGTAACATGAATACATACCTATAACACACAATCAGTAGAGATTATAAAATAGTATTTCAACTGTGTTATATGAGAACCATCGAGTAGTATCTGTTTCTACGGAACGATATGATTGATAGAAGAAGCAAGGTTTGCACATGATTTTTTCCCCTGGTTTATGGAACAAAATAAACACCTGACATACAATCAACAGTACAACGGTTCCAAATTGTATTGTATATTCACGTGTAAATGAATAAACTTGAAAATGAAAGTGACACAATACCAAATGCAACATTTAAACATCTTTAAGCATTACAGTATAACGGTATACATCAGAAGGTGTACCATGTCAAATATCAGCATACCTTGTTTCCGTACAGCGATATATCGGATAAACAGAGAGATTTCAGGCCATCAGAGCGAAATATAACGGTTTATATCCACGCAGTTTTCACGATCTCTGCACGGCAACTGTTTTGCATCCAAATGGTAAAACTAATTCCAGAATGTGTCGCGAAACATTTCACAAAAAAATACTGAACGATTTACCGCACTCTGAGATAAAACTTGAAATTGAAACTGATACAATGACATTTCAAAGCTGTCGACAACTCGAATCGAATAATGGTATAAATTTAACGAATTTTGTAAGAGAAAAAATAAATTTGAATATTACCTCGTATAGAAATATGTCCGTATTCGGAAGACAGAAATTATTGGTTCTCTATCTTCCACAAGTTGCACGTAAAAATACCGGAGGAGATAGAAATTGTGTGTGATTTTCATCAATAATTAAATATCACTTTGAAATTGTATCGTCACTAGTGTAAAATGAAATTACTTAAACAAGTATATTATGTTACATTCATTAAGCGTTTCTCCGAAGCCAGGTATTTGATAACATTCAATCTATTCGATTAGGTCGGACGCTCACAATAGCTAAGCCAATTATTAAAATCCGATTTTCATCGCGCCCAGCTGTAATTTTTTGTTTGAGAAATTAACACGGATAGAGCAACAAAAGTGATTTGTTTATTGTGGGACCTACCTGTGGGGTCGGGGAGCGACCGGGGGGTGGTAACTGCAGCGGCGGCGTCCATAGAGTACAGACTAGTGAAATCGTCACACTTTCTCTTGTCGCGGTCGTCAGAGGTAGGGACTCTTTGCTCTTCTGTTAAGGCCGACATTTTCCTCCGATATTTCAGACCTGTTCAGCTGAAGGGGGGATCTGTGAAAAAATTAAACTGACTAATGTAATTTACTTTCACGTACATTTATACCGCCTCTTGTCGTGCGCCGAAATGCCGCACGCTCACAATCAATCAGAATTCAACAATAGTGCCAATGATTCGTCGCACGCGACTATGAGCCGTTCTCGCTTTTGATTGGTTGGTTTTAGGCTCCTATGGTTTGCTAACAATGTGGGCGGTACCGCGGTGTTCGGTAGTGAATCTGGAATTCCCAAAGCTCCTTTTCTGTGCGAGATGTAACCGTAGAATCAATAAAGGAATGTTAGGGCCGTAAATGGACCTTAATTACAGCCTGAAAATTGGGTCCCGTGATATTACCAACTGTCACAACACGAGAAAAAAGATTCGCATAGCCTTGGGCCTGCTCTGTATTAAAAGCTAAAAAGTTAAGAGCTCAAATTCAGACCCTGTCCTCGGATGTAACTTACTAAAGAAAAGTTTATCTTTTCATAAAAAGAGGGAGATGATATGCATGCAAAGTATTTCATAAAATGGAAATGTACGACTTGAGTCTCGATGCTTAGAAACCAATAATCCTTTGTAAAAGTAAACACATGAACGACAGCGTTATATTTAATTCACCACAAACACGGTAATGTTTTGCATTACTTTCAATATATGTAAATAACATTGCTCGATGAGAAATAAATACATTTCTGATTAAACTCTAAATATTAATCCTTAAAGTAGATATATCTCAAAACAAATAGAGAAACGAATGGGTAAAGGACAATAATATAATCTCATTTGCTTCGTCGGCAAGTGAAAAAATGACGACATTTTAAATATTTCATCACACAGAATTGTACTTTTAGTTGCTGCATTAAATCTTTGAGTAGAACATGACATGTAAATCCATATTTAAGTCATGCAATAGTCTTAATGAAAATACAACATTTTGACAGATGCTGCTTGTAATAATTATGCCTTGACAGTTATCAAATCCATGTCCTGTGGACCGCTTAAAGGAAACGCCAGGAAGAAGGATGTTATGACACTAACATTACTCTAAAACAAACAGACCCGTGAAGATCCGGGGTAGAATCGGTGTTCAGCAACCCATGCTTGCCACAAAAGGTGACTATGCTTGTCGTAAGAGGCTACTAGCGGGGTCGGGTGGTCAGGCTCACTGACTTGGTTGACACGTCATCGGTTCCCAATTGCGCAGGTCGATGCTCATTCTGTTGATCACTGGCTTGTCTGGTCCAGACTCGATTATTTACAGACCGCCGCCATATAGCTGGAATATTGCTGAGTGCGGTGTAAAACTAAACTCATTCACTCACTCTAAAACAAACACTTTATCAACTTTATTTTCAGAACGGGGATCGTCTAGCGTCTGTTAAGAATAATTAATCAAAACCCGCACTACAAATCATGTCGACTTTCACTTTTGCGGTATTCCTGTTCCCATTGTAAACCAAATATTGAGAGTTAATTGCAGATGTCAATAGTGTGTAGCTAATATGAATATCAATATGAAAAGTTATATTTAACAATTGATGCATCCATTCACATTGATATCCATCATGATTCTCTATCATTCAGGTCTCTCGTATCTTCACTGAAGTCGTTTCCACGATGACTGACAGAACCTGGAAGTAGCGCGGGCAATATCAACTGTGTAGCTGGGAAAGATCACAGTTATTAACACGGTGATAGTATCGGGGCTATTGTCTACATTGATCCGTCTCAAGGCATGTGTGTGTAAGCACTCCAGCTACTCGAGAAGGAACGTCACCACCCGGTGTGTTGAGTGGCCACTTACAGTAACACTAGGCATGAGGTTAATGATACATTACTGCTTATGAAACTAATCTATTCTGAGAACAATTCTTACGCAAATTCGTTGTTATTCTTATAGAATAGGTCTTTGCAGATCGTTATGTCCATATTGCGAGAGTTCCTTAAATTTTAATGTTACTGTTCTGCAGAATTTCTGCAAGATAATTCGAAACATTTCTTTGTCTAATTTTAAAATGACATCACACAAAGTGCTTCCTTTACTTTGCCATATCCATAAACATTGTTTTCAAATATATTTCATCATGTTGAATGTGTACATCAAATAATATCCATGCTTATCACAAGTTAACAGCATTGTGGTCCTGTTCACGAGTGTAAGTATATTCAATTACCATGTTCCTGGCATTAGAGGTAGATAATGCCTTAAAAACTTCATGCACTTATTTATAACGACTTTGTGTTTACATATTTGGTGCCCGTCATTGTCCCATAGATAGTCACGAGCAGTTTGTCCAATAACAACTTCTACTCTACTACCGGTACACCAGCGACCCACGGCATAAAGGGTATACGAATGATTAAACTAAATAAATATATTATATTAATTATTGGGACTATCAGTGTTACTCCTCCTCCTCCTCCTCCTCCTCCTACTACTACTACTACTACTACTACTACTGCTACTACTACTGCTGCTACTACTACTACTACTACTACTACTGCTACTGCTGCTGCTACTGATGTCAACAACAGTGAGTACAAATGGTGGTCCTGGTTATAAAATTGGATATAATCAAATACAACTGTTTATATAGTATAGACTTTTATGGTATGTATATTAGTTTAAAGTAATACAGTTATGTTAATAGTTTACTACTGACATAACTATTTTGCCTTCCACACCCTATGGAATCTGTTTCGGCATACATGTAGGACTGCTTATTCCCTAAAATTTACTTTTTGAAACTATTCTGATTAAGTTTTTTCAACATCCCTCCCTGTCTTTTTATACCTTGATAACAATTTTCGAAAGTAGCGCGTACGACGTCATGTCGAAATGAAAAAATAGAAGCGACAAAATCCTTTTCATAGTCAGAAGACATCTCTGTTAAAGGGAGAAATTCGCAAATGATTACATAGAATAGTGGAGAAACATTTAACTTATGTTCTCACACTACATTCGAAATCAAATATTCTTATACTTTCCACTTTATACAATTGAATATGAAAATCTATTTAATGGAATCACAGAATAGCCAATAATTTAGAATAATTATTTTAAAAATCCTTTAAATATCAGGAAAACAATATAGAACGGCAAGATGAAAGTAACGGTTCAATTTCAACTCGATAAGACAACAGTAATGTTATTTCACAGTAACAATCAAACTCACTCCAAATTACCGTCTCCAATAGAATGTAACAGAAATAATATCGCCACGAAAAGTCAAAGTACTTTTTTCCAATTTTTCTATCCAGGCATTCAACGTGCCCGTTGGTTGTTTGGGGGAACTTAAACCACACAGATACACAACACCGAAAGCGGTTTAAAGGATAACTGTCAACAAATCTCACTATCAGGACCAAATTACCCTCTCAATATCGCCCCGCTAAACTGTGACACGCGACTAGTATTTGCAGCACGCGGCGAGCTGATGGAATCTGCACTGAACCGAATAGGATTGATTACCTAGATGTACTGGCTGTGTTGGGAGCAGATATTACCGACACGTGATAGTTTGTCGACAGCACTGTTTGATTTAGTGTTCAGGATTTTATAAAGATTTCTATTCTTAAACCACTGATATGATATTGTAAAATTATTTGAACGGCTATGACACGCGTACGACTGCGAAATTTGTTCAGTCGCTCAGAAGACTTATTGGCTGGGATTGGAAGTGTTTGGAATATGCTGACATAATATGGATAATACCGAAATGTTTGTTTCAGGATGGGTGAGTGAGAGTGGTCGAATTTCACGTTTACGTAACTTACAGTGACCCATTACAAATTGGTGTAAAATATATGTTGTTTTTTAAATATAGGACGCGAGTGGCGACACCAATCGCCACTTTCAGAGTTGATTTAAACGAAAACAATTATTCTAAATTCAATATTTAATTCTAATAAATCGTTTAGGCTGTATTTGGGAAACATTAATATATTCAAATGGTGGTGTTCTTCCTCAATGTCCCCGGATCAGGAAAACAATTGGGATATAAAAATGTCCGAAATAAGGTGGCCTTCAAGTCTAGCCATGATTATAGTCCACCATCAAATACACAAATATTGTTTTTATTCTGAACTACTGTTTTACGAGATACATTCATTACACAGCGGATTTATTCCAAAAATACAAAACATTGTACCTTTACTTTGCACTTCATAATTAAAATAGCCGGTATTTTGACATACACCCTCAGGCAAATGAGGTAACATGATAGCATTTGATATGAAGGAATATGTTTCTTTCTAAGTATACCCTTACGTGGCTGATTGTTTCTGTAGTATCATGACTTGATTGACCAGATTACAATCTGAGAGCCCTCCCCTATAAACCCTCTGATGTCACAGAGTGATATTTTATCCTTTTGAATAGCCATAGAAGTGACGCCGTTGCCGCGTCACTGGAGATGCACACCACTAACAAAATCGAACAGCACCTGCATGAACAGATATACAGGTATATCGATATATTTGTGTTGCGACGACGCATTTTTCTGCATCTTTAGTTTTAAAACGTACAAAATACTGGATACCCGGTCTCGTTTGATTCTGACTATGGGTGTCACAAGTACTTCTTACTCTGATTGTCTGTTTATGCCCAAGGTACGCTTCTACAGTATTATTGCAGCAATCTATATCCAAGAGAGTCACTTATGGTATCAGGGCAGCGGTCTACCTATGCCCAAGGGATTCATCTATGGTATTGGTGCAGAAGTCAACCTGTGTCCAAGGGATTCACGTATGGTATTAGGACAGCAGTCAACTTACGTCCAAGGGATTCACCTATTGTATTAGGACAGCAGTCAACTTACGTCCAAGGGATTCACGTATGGTATTAGAGCAGCAGTCTACCTATGGCCAATGGATTCATCTATGGTATTGGTGCAGACGTCTACCTGGTCGCAAGGGAGTCACTTATGGTATCAGGGTAGTACTGTAGCCTGCCTATGCCCAAGGGATTCGCC